GCGTACCTTAGTTCGAATTAGGGGGGTAGTGTAGACCAAGCCTAAGAATCTTTTGAGGGCTACTTCTCTGTTGCTGGGATGTCTAAGTGAGGTTTCATTTAGCATCAATTCACATTTGATGAGATTGCCTGAGATGGGGGATTGGATGAAGAAGTGATGGAATGGGGCCCTTTGTTTCAGGGATTAACTGCACTACATCCCTTACCCACTTCTCTGTGGTCAATGGAGACTATTCTCCAGAGAAGTGGGAAACTGCCTCCGAGATTCAGATTTGGGTGGAGATACATTTGCTCATTGTCAAAGTGAGCCCTCGGAGGTGTGTTGCTGCCTGATCAGCTGTTCCAGATATAGGATTTTTTGTTCCTTTTTGCCTGCTTTGCAGGAGTTGCCACCTGGCTGTGGCCAAGATGGGGTCTCTTGCAGCTCTTTATCTAGAGCTCTAGCAGCTCTTTATCTAGGTATATCATCTTCTGTGTCCTGCTCCTTATGGTCTTCCCCACTTAGTTTTTCTGTGCTTCAGCTGCCCATCTGTAAAAATGGGGATGACAGTACTTCCCTACATCACAGGGTGTTGTGAGGGTAAATGCATTAAAAATGGTGAGGTGCTGATATACTACTAAAATGGGGGAGGGCATATAAGTACCTCAAATATTTGGAGAAAAAAAGCATCAAAGGAAGTTTGCAGGGTTTCCAAGTTCCCTGCTGTTGACCTGGGAGCCTAAACCTGAGAGCCTCAGCTGGATAGAGCTTGGGCTTCCAGCCCCCAGGGTCAGCTTGCTCCCCATGCTAAGTGGGAGTCTGGAAGCCCTGGGATCTGTGGCCCTTAGGCAGTCCATATAACAGGGTTGCCATGAAGTTGTGGATCCTGACTCCAAAGCGGGCGGGTGAATTGGCAGAAAACCAGGCAAGTTTCCATCGAAACCGTGCCTGTATTGTCTCAGAACATATATTTATTTTGACATATTTCTGCAAAATATTTGGCTTTTGATGAATTGGCATTTTTGGAAGGAAAAACATTTGGTTGGAAAATTTCCAGCTAGCTGTAGTCATATTGGACATCCAGCAGACACTGCATGAACTTGATGGTCATGGTCCTGCAAGAAATCCTCACCTTGTTAAATTGGTGGAAAGACCTTCAGATGTACAACAGAATACCCTTTTTTTTCCTTTAAGCAGTGTCCCTGTGGGTGCTCCACTTTAGGTGGCGGTGTGACCCAGCGCCATCGATCAGAGATTTATGGTAGCAGTGTCCACGCAGGTCGCACATGCTCAGTAGGAGTCTTGCGGTACTGTTGGTGCCGTGTGTAGAACGCGCACAACCTGAGCCCTCCAGTTCGTTCTCAACCATCCTCAGCGGAAGACGGAGCAAAGGGGCAGTGTTAGCACTTCTCCCTAAAACCGTTAAGAAATAGTTTTTAGATAAATATTTATATAAAGTTGTTATAGAGATAGTGTTAATTTTTTTTCCCCTTGTTAATTAGTCAATCATCACTAGTTAAAATGCCGGGGTCTCCAGGCTTCAGACGATGCGGCTCCTGCTGCGATGCCGTGCCCGATTCAGACGGACACTCTTTATGCATATGCTGCCTGGGTGAGGGGCATAATGCCTCACTGCAGCAACCCGAAAGCCAGAGCCTGACGGGACAGGGATGTCCGGCTTAAAATGATCTTGATGGAGAAGTCCTTCCAGCCTGAGATGGACAAGCAGACATTCTCTCTGGGCCCTCCTTAAGATGGAAAAGGAGACCTACCCTCTGAAAAACCAAAAAAGAGGGCTCAAACGTCTCTGCAGAGAGGTCCATGAAAACACAGGCGGTTTCCTGCAAGGTTGCTACCCCCGATGCCATCTTACTCTCCAGTGAGCACCTATGACACTCCAGGCACCTCCGGCACCACCAAGGTCAGAGCAAAAGAAACAGAGTTGAGGCACTGATGAAAACATGCCTCCTCCACAGCACCGAGCTCACCGGTACGGGACTCGGCACTGAGTGGGTCAGGCACCATGCATCTACACCCAGCACCGACAACTCAGTCGGCACTGGTAGACACCACAAAATCGTCACTGATGGGACCGGCCAAACACCACCACCAATCGGCAGCGATTTTATCAATGAAAGGTAAAACACCCATGGCACCAACGACTTCTCAGAAATCAGCACCAACCGTCTCCGCTCTACCAGAGAGACTTAGGGTAGACACCTACCAGAGAGACTTAGTGTAGACACACTACGAAATTAG